CCACCTGCTGGGAAAGCCTCTGCGCGAACTCCTGAATCTCAGACACCAGGGCAGCGCGGCGGTTCTCGAACTCGACCTTGTCTGACTCATCGATGTCCACCTCGGCCGCAGCCAGGTCCTCGAGAAGTTCATCACAGTCAATGAAGAAGCCGGTGCTGACCTCGCCCGACACCAGGTTGCCAAGCTTGGCATCCTGGTCTGCCTTCTCCGCCTGCAGGTTGGACAGGGCGCCCTCGCACTCAGAGTCGGCGGAGGCACACTGCGCCCTGGATTCGCGCAGCGCCTTCTCGAACTCAACGACTTGCTCCTTGGCCGTCGTGAGGCGCTGCAGATCCTTCTCCACTCTAGACTCCCACTGCTGGTTATCCTTCATGCGCCTGCTGTATCTTGGCATGAGTAGGCAGGGGAGGCGGAGGACGCGACTCTGTTTCCAAATGCTTGACCATGGCATCATATTTGTTGGCTGCCAGCAAGTCCCCCGCTTTGAGGGACAGCTCTGATAGCTGACGATCTTCCGCTGCGGACACACCAGGGACAGGGCCCATTGAAAGAGGCGGGGCTCCACTACCTGGGTGAGCGTATGCAAACATTGTTCGGACACTGGTGAGCTGCATGGACATGGAAGGATTCAAAGTACTCCGGCTCGTATCAGCAAATCCTTTCCACAACCTCCTTTGCCTCCGAAGCCATTGCCACACTTGCCGCCTGAGATGGCAACCTTCCCGTTCCCGTACTTGCCGCTGTTGGTCTGACCGTTCCAGCAGCCAGGAGGCGAAGTGCTAAAGCCCAAGGACTGCCATGAGACAAGCGCGGCAACCAGATATGACAAGGCCTGCACCAAGCCGTTTCGGGGGTGTTGCGCTTGCATCCGCACGAAGGGCATGCGAAACCTGTGACTGGCGGTTTGCTTTTCTTGCTCCTTTAGGTGACCCAGCCAGCATCGCCACTGCCATCGCCCCCGGACTGAACCAAAGGCTGATAAGAAAGCGAGAAGAAACGTCTGGAACCATCGGCCGCCGAGCGTACGGTGAAAGTGAGAGTACCATACACGAATCGTGATGTGAAGTGAGCCTGGCACGAGCCACGAGCGCAGTTGGGGGCCGCAAATCCCCCGCACCACTAGGGTAAGACCCTGCGCGAAACGCTGCGGACTTGAGCCAATATGGCTACGGAGCCTTCCCTCCTCTTTCCATCCTTCTCCACCTCTTCCACCACCTCCTCCTCCTCCTCCTCCTCCCCCCATCTCGCTGCGTTACAGCCTCTACATATGTGTCAGCTGCGCTGTTTGAGCGTGCAGCGAAGAGTCGAGGCCCGTCGAGCTGGCCAGAAGTGCTGTCGAGTCGAGTCGAGGGTCGTCCTCCTCCCTCCTCCTCCTCCTCCTCTTCCTCCTCCTCCTCCTCCACGCAGACTGGCCAGATTCCCGGCCGCGGCCCAGCCAGGCGTGGCCACCCGTCCGGGCCGGGGGCACCGCGGCGGCCGCCAGGAACTCCACCCGGCGAACGGCCCGGATGGTCCTGAGTGGGGCCGCCGCTGTCTGCTCGCGGCGGCGGCCCGCTCGAGGGGAACCCTCAAATATTGGCGGTGCACTCCCGGACATCATCGCGTCGTTAAAAGATGAGGGCGGGCGGTTTTTGGCCATTTTCAGCCTCGGGGGGCCCTCGCCAGGCCTCGGGACCGTCAAGAAACGACTCAGGGTGAAAGACTGGTCTTGGGGAAAGGGTCTGGACTTCCAGGGAGCCCGTGTTGAAAAAATCAGGACGTCGCATGTCTGGGTTTTTGGTTCACAACGGGCGTGTTCGCCTGGTTTCGGGCCCAGGGACCCTCACAGATCGATCCGGCTCGAAGATTTGCGCAGAAAGATGGGGTCTGGGGCTCTGGTCGTGATGTATTTCGACGTCGCAGTGCTTCTGCCAAGGTCGGGACCACCAACAAAAGACTCAGGGTGAAAAGCCGGCGCCCCCGGGAGAGGGTCGGGACTTGCGGGGACCCAATATATTGGAAGAAAAAACGGGAATTTGGGATCCTGGGTGCCCTGGTCGCCAGGGCGTCGCCAGTTTTCCACGGCGGGCGGTTTCGCCGGGCTTCGAGCCCCAGGGCCCTCACACCTGGACCAGGCCCTGCTTCTAGCTAGGACTCGGGCTCGCAGCGTCGGACCTCGGGATGCTGCAGAGAACGGATTGGCGGCGCGCACCAGGGGGGCAGGGGGGAGGGGGGAGGGCTTCTTAGAAGGAGGCTGGTTCTGAGAAGGCGCCGGCCTCACAACTATGGACAAGGCCCGCGCCTTCTAAGAAGCAGGGGTCCTTCGGACCAGGGGGAGGAGCAGAAGGGCAGGAGGGGAGGGGCCCTCCCAGTGGGAGCTCGAGAGGCCTCCTTGGCCTTCCGAGGGGGAGCTCTCGAGAAAGCAGCCCCCGAAGCCACGGGCGGCTGCCCGGAGACCCCAGCAGGGGCTTTCCTGAGGGGCCCCGCCATATTCTGGGAAGGCCTGCCGCCCCCTTAAGATCCGACGCCTCGAAAATTTGTTATATGTTTTATTTTTTATGTTTAACCAACAAAAAAAAAACGTCTCGAAAAAAAGGTACATCGAACAATAGACATGTCGACCCCTTATCCAAGGATTGGGAGGGGTTCGAGTGGACCAGACGTTTGGGGCCCAGCCCTGGGATATACGAGGGGGGGCGTCCATCCTCTATAGGGGTGCTTCCGAATAGCCCCCTTGGAGTGTATCCCAGGGTTCGCCCCCTTTCTCTGCAAGATGACCCAACGTGTTCCTCCATGGCCCCTGCCGAAAGAACATGCACACGTCCGAGCGATGCCAAGAGAATGTAGTGCTTCTGGCGCCCTCAGTCGTGGCCCCTCATCGCCCCCAGTCGTGGCCGTTCCCCCATCGTGGGCTGCGTAAGGCGGTGCACGGTCTCATGCTGCATACTGGTGCCACTGCTGAAGTTCATCGTGCACCGCAGCTCCAAGTCAAGAACCCCCCACGCCAATAAAATCGGCCTTGCTACAAGAGTGCTCTTGATCAGTAGTCCAGGTCCAGGAATACGAGAGTTCCACGAAGAAAGGAAGCTCCGAGAAAACGCCCATGGTCCAGTCCAGATGGCTTATCTCTTGAAAGAAAGTATAAGCCCACGAGAGTTGACGCTTCTTCTTGCGACTTTGGATGGCCGTACAATCAAAACTGACGGTATGGACGCGCGATGCGGATGCAAGCTACTTGGGCGCCCATGTTCAAGCTTTCCCTGGCGCGGAAGCCAATCGAAAGTAGTCGTCAAGGACGGACCGAGGAGGCACGGATGCAAGGGTACCCTTAGGAGGCTTGCCCGTCCTTACTATCGATTTCGATTGTACTGATTTCTATGATAGAGATGACCAGCGCTCACCATGGCCCAAGTGACCAATGCATGATCGTATGCGTGATTGTGTTCATGTGCGCGTTGACCGCAGGATAATGTCATACTGGTCATGGTTCCAGGTCAATCAGTCAGCAGCCAACTGTAACACAGGCAAGCCACAACGGCTATGATTTGCTGGGTTTGGACTTCACACCGCTTCGACCAGCCCTGTAGACGCCAAATCACTTCGGCATTGATTAGATGGGGAACTTCAAATCACTGACGACTAGTTCTGATGACTCGACCTTCAGGGACAACTTTCGGATCCAAGGGCCATCGAAAGAAGATCTGGAGCGAAAAACTACATCCCGGGAGAAGGTCGGGATCTTTTGGGTCGCGGACTGGAAGGATCACATCGCTCAGATCTGGGCCCGAAACAAACGCGACCAAAAAAAGTGTTCAGCGTCTTCGGCATCTGTCGGCCGTTCCCCGGCCCTGGGACACTCAAGAAAACGACTCTGGACAAGAAGCCGGCCCCAGTGGAGAGGGTTCGAGATGCTCTGGAGCCCGCATCACGTCAAAAGCCTTATGCGGATTGACTGCTCCAATCTGGGCGCACTCCCTTCGGGAGCCACTTTACGGCACCGGGGCATCAAAAGCGGATCCAGGGCGAGGTCGCGAGCTCATGGGGCTGCGGACTGAACAGACCACATCGCTGAGATCTGGGCGCCGCAGCAAAAATCGTGACGTCTAATTTTTCCAAGTCTCTTGCCTCTGGAAGCCGTTTCCCAACCCTTGGGCCGTCCAAAGCAGCGCCGGATGAACAGCCAGCCGAGCCTGGTCGCCGATGCGTCGGCGATGCAGCGTGATCCTCCGACCCCATCCACTCTGACCACATCTGGGAGACCTAGACGTTGAAAACCGCCATCTCAGACCCTCGGAGCCGGAAAGCGGGGCAGTGAACAACATTACAGGTGACATCAGGTGGCGTACTTCAGGGGACGCCATGGCATAAGCCAAGGCGGCAATAGCCAAAATGGCCGTACAGATGGCGGTCGCCACGGCGGCGATGCTTTTTTATTCGTTTCTCGGGAGCTACAATCGCCAGTGAGCCGAGTCCCGTCCCATGTGTGGCGGCCCCGCTATACATCAGCACCAAGCCAAGCATCGGAAATAGAACAGTGGTGGCCACGCAAGGAGGCACGATGATGACGATGGTTCATGATAAGTTTGGAGATGACAGGTGATAGTGGTGATTGACTGATAGTGATGCTTACGAGAATTACGATCATGATGATGTATGCGGGCGTCACCGCATCTCAGGACACCAGCACTACACGGTCTGTACGTCCTGGATGCTCATGAATGGTGATGATGTTGATGATGGTGTTGATGATGATGCTGATGCTGATGCTGCTGCTGCTGCTGCTGCTAATGCTGATGCTGATGCTGATGCTGATGCTGATGCTGATGCTGATGATGATGATGATGATGATGATGATGATGATGATGATGATGATGATGATGATGATGATGATGATGATGATGATGTGGGGTATGTGTGCGGCTATGGGAAAATCCACTGGAACTGGGAAGGGGGCTTACGAGAGGAGTGTGTTCCAGTCCGCGGCGCTCTTCTTAATTGTCCAGTGTGAGAAGTCAGGAGCGCTAGGTAACAAGCCAGAACACCTGGACGTGGTAAACATCGGGCACGCTGATGCCCGGATTATGATACCATATGTAGTCGAAGCGGTCAAAGCCTGCCGCCGTCACGACCTTAAACAGCTCGGTGCACACGTCAGAATCGATCTCGGCGTCCGCAGGGCTCGGAAGCGGATCGCACGGGCCGTGAAAGTACCACAGGATCCAATGCTGCGTGTTCGTCTGGAGCTCGTGCCCCGCGTCGGCGCTGGAGCCCGTGCGCCGCGGGCGCAGCTGATACGGGTACCTATTCGGCCGCAACACCTTCGTGGGCCGCCCTGCGCGCGAGGCCGTGAACTGCGCCCAGTCGCACTCGACCCACTGAGGAGTCACGATGTCGCCCTGCAGAGTTTTCATCTGCGGGACGCGAACCTCCGTGCGCTCGACCATGGACCCCTTGTTACCCCGCCGGCCCCTGGCCGCATCTGGCGGCCTCCAGCAGTCACGGCCCTCGGCGGTCTCCAGCGGTCTTCTGCGCGAGCGCGGGCTCGATGCCTGTGGTCAGCACGGGGGCCATGATCGAACACCGAACACCCAGGAACCTCTGGCCCCACAGGGCGCACTGGGACGTCAAAAAGAGTGTGGCAGATGTAGTCGTACATTGCCACGATGGGGGGCTGGCCAGGCTCGGGGTCGGGCTGACGGTAGTTGGTGAGCACCTGCAGCCTGTCGTCCCTCTTCCTGTCCTGCGCCTCCGGGCTGGGCCTCGTCGTGTAGCCGCCTGGGGTCCACCCGACGACGTCGTGGAGCGCCTGCAGCTTGTGCCGGGCTGGGTCCACTTGGCAGCCTCGGACCCCCCGGCCCGAAGCGGTCAGGATCTCCAGCAGCTCCGCGAATTCTGCGGAGCCCATGTGCTCAGCGATAGCAGCCTTCTCAGAAGGCTCTTCGCCAGTCAATTTCGAAGGGCCCGCCTCGGTGGAGGGCGCGGGCGTCGCCGCACTGTCAACGGACAAACTAGAGCCTACCCTCTTGGCATAAAACCTTCGCTGCGCTTCGGCGCGGCACTGCGCCAAAGCGTCCATGACGCGCTGCTAGCATACGAACTGAAGCAACGCGCTCGAGCGAAAATGGCTACAGGCCTTGAGCCCAAATCCTACAGGGTGAACCCTCCCACGACCAGGGCAAGCTGCAGGTCATACGCTTGGTGGTGTGAGCCATGCCACGCACAACCCATTGTTAGTAAACTCATCCACTTTGCATGTGTTCTGGTGCTTGGACCCTGAAAATGAGCAACGCGATATGCATTGTAAACACTGTCTGCGCGAGTGGCGCCGTGGGGAGACCATGCCTGATAGGTGTGCTAGGGGTCAATGCCACGAGGTATGAAAGCTCAGCAGTACAGATGATAATATCCGACGTCACACCCGCACTAGTCCTAATAGAAATTCGCCGGCCCAGCGGGCCAGAGGCGTGCGAAAATCTCTGGTAGCAAATTTCGGTTTTTCTAGTAGGTCGCGCGCGCGTGGCGGCCACTGGGGGTCCCAAACCCAAAAATACCCCGGGCAGTCCTTGTCTTCGGGCTGTCACCGGGCGGTCCCTGGGCGGTCCCTCGGCGGTCGGTGTCACGGAAGCCAGAATTCCCGGGGGCGGTCTTCAGGCCCTCAAGGGCACCCCAGGAGCGCCCCGAGGGACCCCAAGGGAGTTCCACGAGATCATTCGAGTCGGGATCCATGGGTGGCAGGTTCCACGATGGCCCCCATATACTCCCCAACAAAAAGGTTGCAAAATAACCTCCGGGTGGTCAAATAAGGCTCCAAGAGGCCCCAACGAGGCCAACATCCACTAATGCTACTTAGTCTTTTGGAAGGTGTCGGCGTTACCGCCCTTTCGGTCTTCCGACCCCCCAAAACAGCCCATTCAGCCCCGAAGACTTGCCAGCGATCGGACGCCTACTCCCTGTGCATTTCTCCGCTTCGTGCGGTTTCTTTCGCTCGATGATCCAGGGTGCTCCTCGACGGTCCTCGCCGAGAAAAAATGCACCCGTCCGAGCGATGCCAAGACTATTGCCACAATTCAGGTCAAGAGGCCCCCAGGACGGCCACAAGACGGGGTGCCGCCGACGCTGACGGGCGACGACGAGGCTGACGCTCTGTGTAGCCCTGCTTGGGGCTCTCCTGGGAGCTTGTAGGACTCCGTCGGGAGGCCTCTTAGAAGGGGACTTCGTGTGAAGCTCCGCGGTCACTTGGAGCCGCCTCGTAGCGGATCTGAGGCCTCTTGGAGGCATGTGGGGAAACACTTTTTGGTCTGCGGGTCGGGAGCGGGCCCCTTCCGGTCAAGAGCTAAACGGGACGCGGGTAGCCCTAATTGGGGAGACAGGGCGCGGGCGAGCGGGGCCTCAGGCGGCTGGAGAGCTCAGAAAACAGGCGGCGCCGAAGATCTTGCACAGGACAAGGTACGCCATGGACACATGTGGGGAAACGCGCGGCACCCCGCAACTGCAGATGAGAATGAAAAAGGGTGCCTCTGGGGGGGGGGTCCAGGATGAGGGTGGTGATGGTGGTGGTCCCTCTGCCCACAGGGGGAAGGCGGGGGGAGGGGTCCTGAGTCCCAGGAGGAGAAGGAGGAGGAGGAGGTGGAGCAGGAGGAGGAGGAGGAGGAGGAGGAGGAGGAGGAGAAGGAGGAGGAGGAGGAGGAGGACCCCCCCTGTCCACAAAGGGACCACCCGCCCTGGTCAACCCCCGGGACCCCCCCCCCGGGACCCCCCTTCTGGGCGCCCCCCCCCCCCCCCCAGACACCCCAGGGATGTCCCACGGGGCCCCCTCCCCGCCAGGGAAGCGATGAGGGAAGGGGCCTCCCTCCGAAACAACTTGGGAAAGGATAAGGGATGTTGTTTGATTTCCGCTTGGGAAGGGGCTTCCCTCCGAAACAATGTGGGAAGGGATAAAGGGTATCCCACGGGACCCTCTCCCCGCCAGGGAAGGGATAAGTGAAGGGATGAGGAAAGGGATAAGGGAAGGGATAAGGGATGTTGTTTGACTTCCGTTGGGCTGGATCGCTGGAAGAGGGGCCAGGAGAAGGGGAGGGAGCGGCGACAGCGACGACGACGACGACTCCAACGGAAAAGCGTCTCCCACACACGCCGACAACGTCGGCGGATCTGATTCGTAAATGAACGCGCCCTGGGAGAATTGATAGTTTTCCTGGCGAAGGACCTAACCATATGCAGTCGTGAATACTGTCGTTGCGGTTATCGTCTTCGGGGGATCTCCTCATGGGGCCATGAAGCATGCGACGGGTGCGCCGACATGGGGCGGGGCCGCCTCGTGGGCGCTGCAACGGGGCTTTAGGTGGAAAGAACTATGGGGCTCCCTACGGGGCCACGAAACATTATACTGACTGGGGGAGACGCATGCGAACACCGCCACTGGGGCCTTCGGTGGAGCTCCATAAGGGGCCACGAAGCGCTGTGATGGGTGGTGGGAACGCAGGCGAACAGAACCCCTGGGGCCTTCGGTGGAGCTCCCTATGGGGCCACGGGGCCCAAGACTGAGTGGAGGAGGCGCTTGCGAACATCGCCGCTGGGGTCTTCTGTGGAGCCCCCCATCGAGCCACGAAGACCTGTACTGGGTGGGGGAGACGCACGCGAACGCCGCCACTGGGGTTTCGGTGGAGCTCCCGATGTAGCCGCGAAGCGCTGTACTGGGTGGGGGAAACGCAATGCGAACACCGCCACTGCACCCTTCGGTGGAGCTCCTCATGGGGCCACGAAACGCTGTATTGTGCGGAGGGGACGCATGCGAACACCGTCACTGGGGCCTTCAGTGGAGCTCCTGATGGAGAAGCGAGACGCTGTACAGAATGGGGGGATCGCATGCGAACGCCGCCACTGGGGCCTTCGGTGGAGCTCCATATAAGCCGCGAAGCGCTGTACTGGGTGTGGGAAATGCACGCGAGCGCCGCCACTGGGACTTCGGTGGAGCTCCCCTGGGCCACGAAGCGCTGTACTGAGTGAGGGAGACGCATGCGACTTCCGCCACTGGGGCCTACGTTGGAGCTGCCTCTGGGGCCACGAAGCGCCGTATTGTGCGGGGGGAACGCAGGCGAACACCGACACTGGGGCCTTCTGTGAAGCTCCTTATGAGGAAGCGAAACGCTGTACAGAATGGTTGACGCATGCGGACACCGCCACTGGGGCCTTCGGTGGAGCTTCCCATAGGGCCGTGAAGCGCTGCACCAGGCGGGGGAGACGCGTGCGAACGCCGCCACTGGAGACACCGGTGGAGCTCCCTATGGGGCCACGAAACGCTGTAGTGGGTAGGGGAGACGCATGCGAACACCGCCAACGGGGCCTTCGGTAGAGCTCCTTATGGAGCCACGAAGCGCTGCATTGGAAGGGGGCAACGCATGCGAACACCGCCACTGGAGCCTTCGGCGGAGCTCCCAAAAGGCGGAGGGGGGAAACGCATGCGAACGCCGCCACTGAGGCCTTCGGTGGAGCTCTTTATGGGGCAGAGAAAGGCAGTACAGAGCAGAGGAAACGCATGCGAACACTGCCACTTGGGCCTTCAGTGGAGCTCCGTATGAGGCCACGAAACGCTGTAGCGGGTGGGGGGGGGGGGGGGGGCGCATGCGAACGCCGCCACTGGGGCTTTCGGTGGAGCTAGCTACGGGGCCACGAAACACTGTACTAGGTGGGGGAGACGCATGCGAACCCCGCCTTCGGTGGAGCTCCCTGAGGCTGTACTGGGTGGGGGAGACGCATGCGAACACCGCCACTGGGGCCTTCGGTGGAACTCCAGACTAGGCCACGAAACGCTACAGTGTGCGGGGGAGACACATGGGAGCACCGCCACTGAGGCCTTCGGTGGAGCTCCCTATGGGGCCACGGAACCCTGTAATGAGCGGAGGAGAAACATGCGAACACCGCCACTGGGGCCTTCGGTGGAGCTCCCACTTACGGGGCCACGAAACGCTGTACTGGGTGGGGGAGACGCATGCGATCACCGCCATTGAGGCCGTCGGTGGAGCTCCCCTATGGGACCACGAAGCGCTGTACTGGGCGGGGGAGACGCATGCGAGCGCCGCCACTGGGGCCTTTGGGAGCTCCCTATGGGGCCGCAAAACGCTGTATTGTGAGGGAGGACGCATGCGAACACCGCCACTGGGGCCTTCGGTGGAGCTCCTGGGAAGCGAAACGCTGTACTGAGTGGGGGGATCGCACGCGAACACCGCCACCTGCATAATTCCGCCAGCCCGCTTCAAGTCGATTTCAGAGGGTTAACCTCTAAAAGAGAATCCTGGGCCGACGCACTTTCTGGAAAAAGAAAGCCCTGGGCCGACGCCCTTTCCGGGAGCAAATGAGATGCGCCCTCACGCATTAATGGCCACGACACTGCCATGTCGAAACACCCCTTACACATCGCCTGCTCCACAGTCTACTGGGACATATAAAAAATACGAGTGATCTGCGCTCCGAGGCCGTTCGACCCCCGACGGCGTCACCCAAGAAACATTGCAACGATTGGTCCTGAACCTCGTTGAGGAAGTACCCCTAACACCCACTGGTTGAAGCTGCCACCTGGGCGCCTGCTGTGACTTCCGCCCTGCGGGCTCAATAATACATACGTAGTGGTCTTCATGAGTGTGATACGAGCACTCTGGTGCTACTGCCGCTGTTACTTTATACTCCAACCAGTGTACAGCTGTATCTGTGCTAATGCAACGGCAGTGGTAGCATCAGCAGCACAAGTCGCCGTGCTTCAGATAAGACTGCTACTCATACCTCATACTACGAAGATAGAACTACCACTGCCGCCACCACTAATGCAGAGCCACAGTGACTTCTGCCAGCACCACTGGTTCTGTAGATGCGAGCGGTGACACTAGTTATAGCAGCACTTGCGCTGCGGCATTCAAAGAGCCGATATTACGGCATTGTGCTGCTTGGGCTGCTGCAATAAGGAATGCTAAATCCACCGACCTTTCGGCGTGTGTACATTCGGGCCGTTGACCTAAGGAACCCTAAATAAGGAACGGGGCCCCTTTCTCCCATAAGTTGAACTTCGATTTCCCATGGAAAACC